ACGCCCCCTTTGCTTGTTAGTATCCCCCAGGACCCCCTGCTACCCCCCTTTGCTTTTTAAAGTATCCCCCAGGATGCCGGCTACGCCACCTTTTTTGGAAATTTCCCCCAGGATGCCTGCTACGCCACATTTGCTTTTTTAAAGTATCCCCCAGGATGCCCCTGCTACGCCACCTTTGCTTGTTAAGTATCCCCAGGATGCCCCTGCTACGCCACCTTTGCTTGTTAAGTATCCCCAGGATGCCTCTGCTACGCCACCTTTGCTTGTTAGTATCCCCAGGATGCCCGCTGCTACGCCACCTTTGCTTGTTAAGTATCCCCCAGGATGCCGCTGCTACGCCACCTTTGCTTGTTAAGTATTCCCCAGGATGCCGCCTGCTACGCCACCTTTGCTTGTTAAGTATCCCCCAGGATGCCGCTGCTACGCCACCTTTGCTCGTTACGTATCCCCCAGGATGCCGCTGCTACGCCACCTTTGCTTGTTAAGTATCCCCCAGGATGCCTCTGCTACTCCACATTTGCTTGTTAAGTATCCCCCAGGATGCCCCATGCTATGCCACCTTTGCTTGTTAAGTATCCCCCAGGATGCCCCTGCTACGCCACCTTTGCTTATTAAGTATCCCCCAGGATGCCTCTGCTACGCCACCTTTGCTTGTTAAGTATCCCCCAGGATGCCCCTGCTATGCCACCTTTGCTTGTTAAGTATCCCCCAGGATGCCCCTGCTACGCCACCTTTGCTTGTTAAGTATCCCCCAGGATGCCCCTGCTATGCCACCTTTGCTTGTTAAGTATCCCCCAGGATGCCCCTGCTACGCCACCTTTGCTTGTTAAGTATCCCCCAGGATGCCCCTGCTACCCACCTTTTGCTTGTTAAGTATCCCCCAGGATGCCCCTGTTACGCCACCTTTGCTTGTTAAGTATCCCCCAGGATGCCCCTGCTACGCCACCTTTGCTTGTTAAGTATCCCCCAGGATGCCCCTGCTATGCCACCTTTGCTTGTTAAGTATCCCCCAGGATGCCTGTGCTACTCCACCTTTGCTTGTTAAGTATCCCCCAGGATGCCGCTGCTACGCCACCTTTGCTTGTTAAGTATCTCCCAGGATGCCGCTGCTACGCCACCTTTGCTTGTTAAGTATCCCCCAGGATGCCTCTGCTACGCCACCTTTGCTTGTTAAGTATCCCCCAGGATGCCGCTGCTACGCCACCTTTGCTTGTTAAGTATCCCCCAGGATGCCTCTGCTACGCCACCTTTGCTTGTTAAGTATCTCCCAGGATGCCGCTGCTACGCCACCTTTGCTTGTTAAGTATCTCCCAGGATGCCGCTGCTACGCCACCTTTGCTTGTTAAGTATCCCCCAGGATGCCTCTGCTACGCCACCTTTGCTTGTTAAGTATCCCAAAGGATGCCGCTGCTACGCCACCTTTGCTTGTTAAGTATCCCCCAGGATGCCCCTGCTACGCCACCTTTGCTTGTTAAGTATCCCCCAGGATGCCTCTGCTACGCCACCTTTGCTTGTTAAGTATCCCCCAGGATGCCTCTGCTACGCCACCTTTGCTTGTTAAGTATCCCCCAGGATGCGTATGCTACGCCACCTTTGCTTGTTAAGTATCCCCCAGGGTGCCTGCTGCTACGCCACCTTTGCTTGTTAAGTATCCCCGGATGCCGCTGCTACGCCACCTTTGCTTGTTAAGTATCCCCCGGATGCCTCTGCTACGCCACCTTTGCTTGTTAAGTATCCCCAGGATGCCGCTGCTACGCCACCTTTGCTTGTTAAGTATCCCCCCGGATCCCGCTGCTACGCCACCTTTGCTTGTTAAGTATCCCCCAGGATGCCTCTGCTACGCCACCTTTGCTTGTTAAGTATCCCCCAGGATGCCTCTGCTACGCCACCTTTGCTTGTTAAGTATCCCCAGGATGCCGCTGCTACGCCACCTTTGCTTGTTAAGTATCCCCCAGGATGCCGCTGCTACGCCACCTTTGCTTGTTAAGTATCCCCCAGGATGCCTCTGCTACGCCACCTTTGCTTGTTAAGTATCCCCCAGGATGCCTCTGCTACGCCACCTTTGCTTGTTAAGTATCCCCCAGGATGCCTCTGCTACGCCACCTTTGTTAAGTATCCCCCAGGATGCCTCTGCTACGCCACCTTTGCTTGTTAAGTATCCCCCAGGATGCCTCTGCTACGCCACCTTTGCTTCTTAAGTATCCCCCAGGATGCCTCTGCTACGCCACCTTTGTTAAGTATCCCCCAGGATGCCTCTGCTACGCCACCTTTGCTTGTTAAGTATCCCCCAGGATGCCTCTGCTACGCCACCTTTGCTTGTTAAGTATCCCCAGGATGCCTCTGCTACGCCACCTTTGCTTGTTAAGTATCCCCCAGGATGCCTCTGCTACGCCACCTTTGCTTGTTAAGTATCCCCCAGGATGCCTCTGCTACGCCACCTTTGCTAAGTATCCCCCAGGATGCCTCTGCTACGCCACCTTTGCATGTTAAGTATCCCCCAGGATGCCGCTGCTACGCCACCTTTGCTTGTTAAGTATCCCCCAGGATGCCGCTGCTACGCCACCTTTGCTTGTTAAGTATCCCCAGGATGCCTCTGCTACGCCACCTTTGCTTGTTAAGTATCCCCAAGGATGCCTCTGCTACGCCACCTTTGCTTGTTAAGTATCCCCAGGATGCCTCTGCTACGCCACCTTTGCTTGTTAAGTATCCCCAGGATGCCTCTGCTACGCCACCTTTGCTTGTTAAGTATCCCCCAGGATGCCCTGCTACGCCACCTTTGCTTGTTAAGTATCCCCAGGATGCCGCTGCTACGCCACCTTTGCTTGTTAAGTATCCCCCAGGATGCCTCTGCTACGCCACCTTTGCTTGTTAAGTATCCCCCAGGATGCCTCTGCTACGCCACCTTTGCTTGTTAAGTATCCCCCAGGATGCCCTGCTACGCCACTTTGCTTGTTAAGTATCCCCCAGGATGCCTCTGCTACGCCACTTTGCTTGTTAAGTATCCCCCAGGATGCCTCTGCTACGCCACCTTTGCTTGTTAAGTATCCCCAGGATGCCCTGCTACGCCACCTTTGCTTGTTAAGTATCCCCCAGGATGCCTCTGCTACGCCACCTCCGCTTGTTAAGTATCCCCCAGGATGCCTCTGCTACGCCACCTCCGCTTGTTAAGTATCCCCCAGGATGCCTCTGCTACGCCACCTTCGCTTGTTAAGTATCCCCCAGATGCCTCTGCTACGCACCTTTGCTTGTTAAGTATCCCCCAGGATGCCTCTGCTACGCCACCTTCGCTTGTTAAGTATCCCCCAGGATGCCCCTGCTACTCCACCTTTGCTTGTTAAGTATCCCCCAGGATGCCCCTGCTACGGCACCTTTGCTTGTTAAGTATCCCCCAGGATGCCCCTGCTACGCCACCTTTGCTTGTTAAGTATCCCCCAGGATGCCTCTGCTACGTCACCTTTGCTTGTTAAGTATCCCCCAGGATGCCCTGTGCTACGCCACCTTTGCTTGTTAAGTATCCCCCAGGATGCCTCTGCTACGCCACCTTTGCTTGTTAAGTATCCCCCAGGATGCCTCTGCTACGCCACCTTTGCTTGTTAAGTATCCCCCAGGATGCCTCTGCTACGCCACCTTTCCTTTTAAGTATCCCCCAGGATGCCTCTGCTACGCCACCTTTGCTTGTTAAGTATCCCCCAGGATGCCCTGTTACGCCACCTTTGCTTGTTAAGTATCCCCAGGATGCCCCTGCTACGCCACCTTTGCTTGTTAAGTATCCCCCAGGATGCCCCTGCTATGCCACCTTTGCTTGTTAAGTATCCCCCAGGATGCCTGTGCTACTCCACCTTTGCTTGTTAAGTATCCCCCAGGATGCCGCTGCTACGCCACCTTTGCTTGTTAAGTATCTCCCAGGATGCCGCTGCTACGCCACCTTTGCTTGTTAAGTATCCCCAGGATGCCTCTGCTACGCCACCTTTGCTTGTTAAGTATCCCCAGGATGCCGCTGCTACGCCACCTTTGCTTGTTAAGTATCCCCCAGGATGCCTCTGCTACGCCACCTTTGCTTGTTAAGTATCTCCCAGGATGCCGCCTGCTACGCCACCTTTGCTTGTTAAGTATCTCCCAGGATGCCGCTGCTACGCCACCTTTGCTTGTTAAGTATCCCCAGGATGCCTCTGCTACGCCACCTTTGCTTGTTAAGTATCCCCAGGATGCCGCTGCTACGCCACCTTTGCTTGTTAAGTATCCCCCAGGATGCCTCTGCTACGCCACCTTCGCTTGTTAAGTATCCCCAGGATGCCCTGCTACGCCACCTTTGCTTGTTAAGTATCCCCCAGGATGCCTCTGCTACGCCACCTTTGCTTGTTAAGTATCCCCCAGGATGCCTCTGCTACGCCACCTTTGCTTGTTAAGTATTCCCCAGGATGCCTCTGCTACGCCACCTTTGCTTGTTAAGTATCCCCCAGGGTGCCGCTGCTACGCCACCTTTGCTTGTTAAGTATCCCCCAGGATGCCGCTGCTACGCCACCTTTGCTTGTTAAGTATCCCCCAGGATGCCTCTGCTACGCCACCTTTGCTTGTTAAGTATCCCCAGGATGCCGCTGCTACGCCACCTTTGCTTGTTAAGTATCCCCCGGATGCCGCTGCTACGCCACCTTTGCTTGTTAAGTATCCCCAGGATGCCTCTGCTACGCCACCTTTGCTTGTTAAGTATCCCCCAGGATGCCTCTGCTACGCCACCTTTGCTTGTTAAGTATCCCCAGGATGCCGCTGCTACGCCACCTTTGCTTGTTAAGTATCCCCAGGATGCCGCTGCTACGCCACCTTTGCTTGTTAAGTATCCCCCAGGATGCCTCTGCTACGCCACCTTTGTTGTTAAGTATCCCCCAGGATGCCTCTGCTACGCCACCTTTGCTTGTTAAGTATCCCCAGGATGCCTCTGCTACGCCACCTTTTGTTAAGTATCCCCCAGGATGCCTCTGCTACGCCACCTTTGCTTGTTAAGTATCCCCCAGGATGCCTCTGCTACGCCACATTTGCTTCTTAGTATCCCCCAGGATGCTCTGTACGCCACCTTTGTTAGTATCCCCCAGGATGCCTCTGCTACGCCACCTTTGCTTGTTAAGTATCCCCCAGGATGCCTCTGCTACGCCACATTTGCTTGTTAAGTATCCCCCAGGATGCCTCTGCTACGCCACCTTTACTTGTTAAGTATCCCCCAGGATGCCTCTGCTACGCCACCTTTGCTTGTTAAGTATCCCCCAGGATGCCTCTGCTACGCCACCTTTGTTAAGTATCCCCCAGGATGCCTCTGCTACGCCACCTTTGCTTGTTAAGTATCCCCAGGATGCCGCTGCTACGCCACCTTTGCTTGTTAAGTATCCCCCAGGATGCCGCTGCTACGCCACCTTTGCTTGTTAAGTATCCCCCAGGATGCCTCTGCTACGCCACCTTTGCTTGTTAAGTATCCCCCAGGATGCCTCTGCTACGCCACCTTTGCTTGTTAAGTATCCCCCAGGATGCGCTGCTACGCCACCTTTGCTTGTTAAGTATCCCCCAGGATGCCTCTGCTACGCCACCTTTGCTTGTTAAGTATCCCCAGGATGCCTCTGCTACGCCACCTTTGCTTGTTAAGTATCCCCCAGGATGCCCCTGCTACGCCACCTTTGCTTGTTAAGTATCCCCCAGGATGCCTCTGCTACGCCACCTTTGCTTGTTAAGTATCCCCAGGATGCCTCTGCTACGCCACCTTTGCTTGTTAAGTATCCCCCAGGATGCCCCTGCTACGCCACCTTTGCTTGTTAAGTATCCCCCAGGATGCCTCTGCTACGCCACCTCCGCTTGTTAAGTATCCCCCAGGATGCCTCTGCTACGCCACCTCCGCTTGTTAAGTATCCCCCAGGATGCCTCTGCTACGCCACCTTGCTTGTTAAGTATCCCCAGGGATGCCCCTGCTACGCCACCTTTGCTTGTTAAGTATCCCCCAGGATGCCGCTGCTACGCCACCTTTGCTGTTAAGTATCCCCAGGATGCCTCTGCTACGCCACCTTTGCTTGTTAAGTATCCCCCAGGATGCCTTTGCTACGCCACCTTTGCTTGTTAAGTATCCCCCAGGATGCCGCTGCTACGCCACCTTTGCTTGTTAAGTATCCCCCAGGATGCCTCTGCTACGCCACCTTTGCTTGTTAAGTATCCCCCAGGATGCCCTGACTACGCCACCTTTGCTTGTTAAGTATCCCCCAGGATGCCCTGCTACGCCCACCTTTGCTTGTTAAGTATCCCCAGGATGCCTCTGCTACGCCACCTTTGCTTGTTAAGTATCCCCCAGGATGCCTCTGCTACGCCACCTTTGCTTGTTAAGTATCCCCCAGGATGCCCCTGCTACGCCACCTTTGCTTGTTAAGTATCCCCCAGGATGCCTCTGCTACGCCACCTCCGCTTGTTTAAGTATCCCCAGGATGCCCTCTGCTACGCCACCTCCGCTTGTTAAGTATCCCCAGGATGCCTCTGCTACGCCACCTTCGCTTGTTAAGTATCCCCCAGGATGCCCCTGCTACGCCACCTTCGCTTGTTAAGTATCCCCCAGGATGCCCCTGCTACTCCACCTTTGCTTGTTAAGTATCCCCCAGGATGCCCCTGCTACGGCACCTTTGCTTGTTAAGTATCCCCAGGATGCCTCTGCTACGCCACCTTTGCTTGTTAAGTATCCCCAGGATGCCTCTGCTACGCCACCTTTGCTTGTTAAGTATCCCCCAGGATGCCTCTGCTACGCCACCTTTGCTTGTTAAGTATCCCCCAGGATGCCTCTGCTACGCCACCTTCGCTTGTTAAGTATCCCCCAGGATGCCTCTGCTACGCCACCTTTGCTTGTTAAGTATCCCCCAGGATGCCTCTGCTACGCCACCTTTGCTTGTTAAGTATCCCCCAGGATGCCTCTGCTACGCCACCTTTGCTTGTTAAGTATCCCCCAGGATGCCTCTGCTACGCCACCTTCGCTTGTTAGTATCCCCTGGATGCCCTGCTACGCCACCTTTGCTGTTAAGTATCCCCAGGATGCCTCTGCTTACGCCAACTTTGCTTGTTAAGTATCCCCCAGGATGCCTCTGCTACGCCACCTTTGCTTGTTAAGTATCCCCCAGGATGCCTCTGCTACGCCACCTTTGCTTGTTAAGTATCCCCCAGGATGCCTCTGCTACGCCACCTTCGCCTTGCTGGTACCTTCGTTCTTTCCTCTCTTCGTAAACAAACTCTCGCTGCTACCACATGTTTACTCAACATTTTATTTTTGTGTCTGGGTCACTTCCTTCTTCTCGTTGTTGTCAGGTCAAAACACTTAAAAATCTCACCACTTTCTGTCCTTATGTTGATTTGGTATATATTTTTCCTGGCCTCTGTCAGTATTTCAGTTTTATTGAAGATAAAGGCACAATATCGTGACTGGAACAATACACTAATAAGCCGCACATGAGAGAGAGGAGATTACCACGACGTTACGGTCCGACTTGGACCATTTACGAAGTCAGGTGGTCCAAGTCGGACCGAAACGTCGCCGTAAGCTTCTACCTACCTGGAGTCTACCTGGAGGGCATTCCGGGGGTCAGCACCCCTGCAACCCGGTCCACGACCAGGCCTCCCGGTGGATCAGGGCCTGATCAACGAGGCTGTTATTGCTGCCTGCATGTAGTCCAACGTAGGAACCACAGCCCGGCTTATCCGGCATTGATTTTGGGTATCTGTCCAGCTCCCTCTTGAAGACAACCAGGGGTCAGTTTGACATTAGTATTTTATCACATGTAAAAACAACTGTGTGTACCTTGGTGTCTGTTATTTGTTGGTGGTTCTGGGCATGGTCTTACCTCAGAACAATGTCTCAGACATTCATTCATTAGGGATCTTGTAGATGAATGGTTCAGAGAACCGACATTTTGATAAATTAGACACATGTGCAACTCTTGGCTACCCAAGAGTTGCACATGTGTCTAATTTATCAACATGTCGGTTCTCTGAACCATTCATCTACAAACCTGTCAGACACTGCAACTTCTTGGGATCTTAATACTTGGGAATTCTTCGCTTGCCTAATTCTTGGGCACGACCTACTTCAACATTGAATAAGTGTTACACTGCCTCTGACTGCTTCACCTCTCCTGCCAACGGTATATAAGCTCCTTCTCAGCACGTATGCCGTATTCTATTCAAGATTGATGGACTGACCACATCGACTCAAGGTTGAGGGACTGATTACCTCATTCTCCTCCTGTTCTTCAAGATTCTCCTTTGTATGGACTGATGAAGCCACTGTGTGGCGAAACGTTTCCTCAATAAAGATACCCAAGAGTTGCACATGTGTCTAATTTATCATTAGGGATCTGTCGGTACTTCCGGCCCGGGTCTTCTCCAGATGGTGACCTGGCGGTGGCCCTAACAGTGGGTTGGGCGAATATTTTTGTTTGTGGGTTTGAGAAGGACCTGCCAAGTATGGGCCAGTAAGCCTGCTGCAGTGTTCCCCCTTTCTTGTGATATAAGCTTCCAAGTAGCATCATTGAAGCTAATACCTTGGGTAGCTTCGAAAATAGACGGTGAAGGAAGGGTGGAGATACGTTACGGCTTTATAAATGTAGTGTAGGCGTGCCTCTGGCAAGACAGGGATGGAGTGAATGATAGTGAAAGAGTTTCTTCTTCTTCGGGTCACTCTGCCTTGGTGGGAAACGGCTGATGTGTTAATAAATGATAATAATAATCTTTATTTCTACAAGTACATGATACAACTTATACAGACCATAGCTGACATCAGTGACATACTATATAGGAAGTCCCTGGTTGTGCAGACCATTTCCCGCAAGACTCACGAAATCGTAATGACACGATTGCAAACAAACCATACCACGGGCGGGATTTGAACCCGCGGTCAGAGAGTCTCAAAACTCCAGACCGTCGCGTTAGCCACTGGACCAGCTAGCCACAATAAGATTCGTCCAGCTAGGTATATTTCTACACAATAGGAAGGTTAGCACAGGCACCACTGTGACCACAAATGCAAGTTTTTACAGACGAATCTCCAGCTAGCGTGGCCGTGACGAACTCTAGCTCAAGTCCCCTCACTGCCGTCAACATTTGCATTTGTGGTCACAGTGGTGCCTATGCTAACCTTCCTATGGTGTAGAAATATACGTAGTTGGACGAATCTTATCGTGGCTAGCTGGTCCAGTGGCTAACGTGACGGTCTGGAGTTTTGAGACTCTCTGACCGCGGGTTCTAACCCCGCCCGTGGTATGGTTTCATTTCCTGCAACTTAGGTTAATCTTGTACCCAGGATGCCACCCACATAAACTAGATACCTGTGTAACACCTAACTATGGAGGTTGTTCCGGGAGTCAACATCCCCGAGGTCCGGAGCATCATCAGGCCTCGGGGTGGATCAAGGCCTGATCAGCCAGGCTGTTACTGCTGGCCACATGCAGTCCAGTGTACGAACCACAGCCCGGCTGGTCAGTTACTGACTTTAGGTGTCTGTCCAGCTCTCTCTTGAAGACAGCCAGGGGTCTATTGGTAATCCTCCTTATGTATGCTGGGAGGCAGTTGAAAAGTTTGGGCCCCTGACACTTATTGTGAGATAAACTGATTTTTAAAGCTACCAAATGACTACTTGATGACCTGACGATTGCTCGGCTGACATGACCTCACGGACAGTGAGGTCATGTTAGCAGTGTTTCCAAGCTGATTGAGTAGGACACACGTGCTACACAAGGGAAACTTGGCTTCAGCTTCAGGCTTCATCGGTCGAATACAGAGATAACTTAAAATCCTTGAGACTGCTGACGAACTCGAGAGG